GGAAAGAAGGAAGAAAGGAAGGAAAAGGAATAAAACTGAGTAAAAAGGAAACCTTATTCAACTCCTTAGATGGTACATTTAAGTACTACAGGATGAGCTCTATTTATTCTAAATGCAGTTCCTGCCTTTGGTTATATGAATATATTCAACAGAAAGTTTTGAATATTTAATCTCTTGAGTAAGGTCTCTGAAGGACAACCAAAAAAAATAATGTTTATTGCAAAAGTCAAATACTTCATCATAATATGGAACACATCGTGGCATAGTTTCCTTGAACTTCATTATGATAAAATCTGTTCCAGTGATGTTAGCCATCGTGATGTTACCTAGAACCCCCAGCTCCAGACACTGCCCTGGGTATACTGCTGTAAGCTCCTGACGGATACTCACTTGTTTATTCCTCTGCTAGCCCAATGAGGTAGTTGTTGGTATTATTCCCACATTACAGAAACATTGAGGCACAGAGAGGTTAGGCAATTGTATACTGGTAAGATGAATGTGGAATTTATCTTTCAAACTGACTTGAGAGACTGATAAGGTATTCTGTGAATAATCGTATGAAATAGCAAGTATAAGCTGGAACTAGCTTGTAAAACTAGAAAAAACTCAGGAGCTGATTCCATGGCCCAGATCCAGAGTAGGCTCATAAACCACTCCAGTAGGCTGCTGTTTTCTTGTATTGTCCTTTGTCTGTTTTGCTTATCTCTATAGCCTTCATCCATACATTTTTACTCTCTTGCTCTCTCTTGTTTCCCTTCTACATGCCCTCCGTTTCTGTCCACAATTCAGGTGAAGTGTCAAATTAATTAACTCCAGTTTTTACATGGAGCACAGTACAATGAAGACAGACTCCCCATCCTCTAGGACCTCCATAAAGGAAAGAGTTAAAACTTCATGATTTCCCTAATGAATAGGTTTCAAAGCACTATCTCTCACTGATGAACCAAAGGAGTGATCTTTATTTTCCATGAAGAAATAGCTTATGTACCTTGAGGTCTGTCTGCAAAAATTCCCTTGTGCTTTCTGATGAACAGAAATCTATACTGAACCTGGGTTCTTTGAAAATGAGGACAGTTAAAGACACGATAAGCCCAAGGCCAGTCTGAGGAACTTAGTGGGACCCCATCTAAAACACAAAAAACAACAAAAAAAAAAACAACAAGACATTTTACTTTCAAAGTATTGTATGCTGCATATACAGAGTCAAAATGAAAGTATTAAAATTGAAAAATGGAAGTGTGGCTAGTTTTGCTACAATGTTTATCAGTTATGTGTCACCTATTTTTATTACATAAGAAATCAAATCTAGTGTTGTAATGAAAACACTATACAGTGAATTTAAGATAATTCTTGGTGCATTCAGAATGTTCCTGTTTGTTCAGGGACACAGTGCCCTTGAGGTTTCTTCTAAGTACTGTAATCTTCTGTAAGAAAGGCATTTTTCAATTTTTGAAGCAAGTTGCTCTGTCATTGAACACCTACAATGATTGTATTTTATTCAGCAATTTTTACAGAAGCACAAATGTAACTGTGCACTTGGGCTATGCATTGTGTCCCTTTATCAGCATTAGGCATGTATTTACACTAGATATCATTTAAGACATTTCTTTTTTAATCTTCCTTCTTTACTATTCACTTAACACCTTAGCTTTCCATTTCCTTAAAGGCCATGACTCTATCTAAATTTACCTAAGGATTTGAAACAGGTAATCTCCAAGAAGGGAAGGGATTGGGGACTGGATTAATCCAAGTGTTTCCTAAAGGGACTGAAAGAAATAAAAGTCATCTTTTAATAATTTTTGCTGAATAAAAATTGAATGAAGTTAAAGAGGTTTAATTTTGATGCTGAGCAAGGTGGTGCAACCTGTAATCCAAGATACATTAGAGGATAATGACTGAGGATCACAAGTTCAAGGCCAGACAACACAATTTAGTGAGACCATGTCTCAAATAAGGAAAATTTTAAAACGTCTGGGTATATATCTCAGTGGTAGAATAACCTTATATTCAATTCCCAATATCAAAAAAATACATACACACACACACACATATAACTTTGAATACTTCATATTTTAAAAAATGTTTACTGATAATTTGAAGGATAGCATTTGAATCCTATATGTCCATTAAATCACATTTTCTTTCTACTGTTTTTGTTTTGTTTTGTTTTGTTTTTGATACTGGTGATTGAACACAGTCACTCTATCGCTGAACTACATACCCTTCCCCACTTTTGTTTAATTTTGAAATAGGGCCTATCTAAATTGCTGAGGCTGGCCTTGAACTTGCAATCTTCCTGTAGATTCTCCTCCTTTAGCCTCCCCAGTTGCTGGAAATAAAGCAAGTGCCAAAATGGCCAGCTTCATATTCCATTTTATAATGGTTTACTGAAAATATCATCTTATTTTAAGAAGAACATTGCTAAGAGAGTAGATTCCAAGTGTTTTCACCAAAAAAAGTATATGAAGTAATGCATATGATAATTAGCTCAATTTAGCTATTCACAATATATGCATATCTCAAAACATGTTGTATGTGATAAATATAAACTTTGATTTTCCAATTAAAACTAAATTTAAAAAATTACTCAAGAAACAAAACATAATTCAGTATTTCCAAAAAATCTCAAACCACTTAGAATTTACATGTTTATATATCTATTTGTGTTTATAATATCCACACACGTATACATGTATAAACTACATTTTTAGTATAATTAAGAAATATAGATTTAGTTTTATGCACTCCCTATACTGATGAATATGCAATTTAAAGAACTTGATGTGCAAATTAGTGACCTTAACCAATTTTTATACTCCTTTAAACTGTACTGTTTTCAAAAGTATAATTTAATCCATTCATATAACTATAATTTGACAGCTTCTGTACCTCTAAATAATGAATGTTTCAAGAAGTGAATTACATGCCTTATACCCACTAAAGCACTTTGTAAATCTATAAAGATTGTATTAAACTAAAATTTACCCAAGGTAAAATGACATAGAGTTGATACAGATATCCTCCATTTTAATTTTGTTGTATTATTTCATTTTAGTTTTATATATATATATATATATATATATATATATATATATATATATATAGAGAGAGAGAGAGAGAGAGAGAGAGAGAGAGAGAGAGAGAGAGAGAGAAATTATTAGAACTCAGAGCCCAACCTCTTATCTCTGGTTTATTTTCCTTTAGAGCAAAAACTATTTTATATAAGAAAACATTCATTTATTTTTATCAGCTTTTTGTCAGAGAGATGATTTTGTCTAAACCTCAAGACAACCAAAGTTAGAATCAAAGAAATAGAAGTAGATGTACTTTATTTTAGACATTAAATAAAGTGTAGACTGGGCACAGTGACACACAACCATATTCCCATTGATTCAGGAGACAAAGGGAGGAAGATTGTAAGTTCCAGGGCAGCTTCTGCAACTCAAGAAGGCCTTGTCTCAAACTAGAAAGGACAGTGGATGTAGTTCAGTGGTAGAGTGCCCCTGGGTTCCATTCCTGGTACCAAAAAATTAATAATAATAATAATAATAATAATATTTAAAATAAAGTTTAGGAGACACAATGAAGAATGTGCTGATCTTCCCATGCACAAGAGAATTTGTACTCTTTAGGACATTTGAGCTGGATTAATTATGAACATAAAAAGTATTTTATGTTAAAAATTAAACTAAACAATTATAACTATTATTCAAAAATAGCATTAAACATTCTTACATAGTTTATGCATTACCCAGTACCTTCTTTCCTTCAACATTTAGTTAGAAAATCCTTTTTTAAGCTTAATATGTCAAATTACACTCAAAATGAAATCCCATCCTGTGCTGATAATGGATGTGTATAATAGCCTGAAAGAGCTTTAATGAAGTATAATTTCACAAGTGTGATGCAATAATACATAACCAATTTAATTTGAAACTAAGCCAGTGGTGCAGTAATATATTTATACAACTAATATTGTTAAATTCTTAATTTTCATCCTCTCTTGATTTAAATTACAAGTTCCCTTAAAATGAAATCCACTTAGGAATACCCTAATGATTTTTTACTTTAGCTTTCCTATTGTGACAGCTTTTACAGTTTTTCCCATCATCTTTCCACTTAAATCCTCCATGGGACACTTGAAAAATTCATGTAGAAACAGCAGGAACCCATGTAAAATTTTACAAATTAAACTTCTTAATTGATGATTTTTATAAATCATCTTAAAACATAAGAACTTGTATTACACATATTACATATAATAAAAATACTCAGATATTACCAAACATATCATTTATGATTTTTTTCAATATCTATTAAAATGTTCATTGCTAGTAAAGACACAATCCTCCATTAACATATATTTATCTTTCAATTTTAGGAAGAAGTCTTAAGATTATGTTATTATTAATCTATTTGATGAATGTTCTTGCACATTCTTACAGCTCAGTAGTTATGTCAATATTGGGGCTATAATCATTTGGCTGACAGTTCTGTCTCCCAGAACAATGTGGCTTTGTTATCCATGTCTTTATGGTACCCTATCTAATCCAACATAAACTTGTTCTGATGATAATGTTCAGATAAAAAAAATTATCATTTTGAAAACAAAGTAAAGATTTAAGTACACATTTCAGTCTGTTAACAAAAATAGAGACTACAGTATGAGTGTCTAACAGTTGGAATAGAGACTAACTATTAACCATCAGTATGACAGCATTTGTTGGTACTTTCAGAATATTCATTCCATTATTGACCATTATGGTATAATCTCTGCTGAAAATAACACAAATCCTATATTGATAAAAGAAGGATTCAGCACCCTTAACAAAAAAAAAAAGTACTGTCTGATAATAATAAGTGTCTATTTTGCTGCTCCAGTATATATTGTTTGGACTTGAACTTTATTTTGAATATGCTACAAGGTTTAATTTGATCAATTTTAATTACACTAAAAAATAAACAAGACTGTTTGACACTGTTCTTTCTTTTTTTAATAGTGGCTAGCATTCAGAAACTTCCGGCAGCTTCTGTTCTAACAGACATCAACTTCCCAATGAAAGGACGGAAAGGAATGGTTGACTGGGCAAGAAATTCAGAAGATAGGGTAGTTATTCCAAAAAGTATTTTCACTCCTGTGTCTTCAAAAGGTAATCACTACATAATCTGAGTTTTGAACAAAACATTTCTGATGAAGTCATTTAATGAAACCCTAGGTGTAAACATTAAACAATTTTGACACAATTTACAGTCATGATTCCAAACTAATTTTGTAAATATAGACAACTTACACTTGTCTTACAAATCTCTGAATTTACTGAAGGAAAGGATCCATTAAAGTGAGAGGAAAACATACAAGTACAAATTATTGCATTATGCATACAAACTCATTTCTACTTCCGCCTCATGTTAAAATTTGCTTTGGTTAGAAGATATTATTTTGGCACATAGAAACAAATTTAGGGGGAAAAATTAAGATTTAAGACCATTTTAAGTAGCCTTTAAAATTAATGGCTGTCATCAAAAGTGACATTGTAGTCTTAATTGTTGCTTTGGAGACTTTGATCTTAAAACTAAAGGCTACAAAAGAAAAATCAGCTCTTTTTCTTCAAGTCATTGGGTATTTAAACTTTTAAATGCAACTATAGCTGATTCTTGTCTCAGCCTCTACCAAAAACATGTCTTATAGTAGTGTAATTAATATGCAGAGTGTGTACTCAAACTGCCCCATGCAGAGTTAGAACACTTCTCAGTACCTAGCAGCATCTTTTTAACAGCTGTACTGGAATCCCCTTGGGATTAACAGATTAAAGTTTTATAAAACAGTATTTTTCTTGCTGTTTTCCTAATATTTTTAATTTTATTCTTTCTAGAATTAGATGAATCATCCGTATTTGTTCTTGGAGCAGTCCTCTACAAAAATTTAGATCTCATTTTGCCCACTTTGAGGTAAGCTACAAATTAACACACTGTTGCAAACCTTATAAATTATTCTAAAATGTGATTATAGTTCATTCTATGAAAATAGTCAAACAAGCCTTGGTAACACAAAGGGCTTTTTTGTAAATGAAATAGAAAATATCAGCTTATCGAACAGGTTATTAACATATTATGCATTTCAAAACAACTAAGGAAGATAATTTTGGTGTCTTATTGTAGCCCTGCAATTTTTTGTACCTAATCATGACTTGCCTAAAGACTAAAGAGTGAAAAGAAAGAACTCAAGTCTCTATAATAGAATGGGTCATTGTAAAATTAATCTGTCTTCTTGCTTTATTTGTACTTAATGATACTGTTCATCAACTTTACGTGAAATTAAAGGAGTACTGGGATGACTGGGGAAACATGCTTTTATTCTTCATTTGCACAAGATCTCAATTAGCTTCAAAATATATTTTCAATTACAGGGACATTAAGAGAAAATGCTATTGTTCAATTAGATAACAGTTTTGGAAGAAATCCATTGATTTCTTTTCTGTCAGACATTTAAAAAAGCAAGTAGTAATTCAACTAACATTTATGTGTTCTGTTGTCTGTCTACTTTGCCAAATCTCACAGAAAACAAAATTCACATCTCCTTGGACAGTGATCCTATTACTGACAATGATCTGTTTCCTCCACACCACCTCATTTTGGAGGATTGATACAAAGTTGTATTTTGGTTAAACACAGCCATAGTTGTGCTGAGATATCTCCCCACACTTTCATAAATAAAGCAAAGATTTTAGGGAGGACAGCATATGAATGATATGTACAGTTATGCCAGTGCTACAATGTATACTCTAATAAATAAAAACAATTAGAGTTCCATCCAGCAGCAAAAGGCCACCCAAGGAAGTGACAATGACTAGGCATGACTTTTGGAAAAAATCTCTGCATGAAGCACATGATTAATGCAAGAGGTGAATTATCCCAAGTCCTTACTGATGCAAACCTTTTTCTCCTTCAGCCATAGAGACAATCATGGGAAGTTATATTTTCTATAGTGTCCTCTGGCTGGAACTGGACTTTGTGAACTTGGATATATTTGAATTTGGTTGCATTTTGTTAATACAATATTTTCAAAATTAATAAGTTTACTCTCAACTTTGCTACTGGTTTTATTAAAATACATTGGTATATATAGTCACAGATCAAAATCTTTCATAGTTATAATGCTACCTTCCCTCTAAAAGGAAAAAGAGGAGATATGTTGGAAAGAAAAAGCTAGACCCTTATTTCCATAAGGAATTAATTTATGTAAGGTTTAATTTTTAAGAGTTCTAGACTAGACATAGTCTTAAAAATCAGGACTGATTAAAAGATTTCAATGTATCATGACAAGAGTTTTATAAACTTGTCCAGTCACCACACAATTCAATTCAATGGCCTTCATTTCAACTTAAAATAAAAGCACATTTATGTGTAACAAAACTAATAAACTCTTTGTTCCTGAGGGCAAGAGTAAATGCAAAATAATTATTCAACATGAAATGTTTTTGATTACGAGTTTCCCTCTAGATATCCAACAAAGTTGCATAATTAACTTTGTTCTGTTTATCATAGAACTCATTCACCTACACAAATGAAGTCAAATTATCCCACATTTTATGAATCCATGAAGTCAAGGAAATTGGAAATTTATCTAGGGACATCAGTCTTTTCTGTAAAAAGAAAAAAGAAACATTCAATTATTGGTTGCATTTTTTTTTAATCATGGGAGGAACAGGTGTCACTTACAGTGTATGAATATGCTAATGGATCCATTGTGTATAATTTAATGAATAGAGCAGAATAGTCTAGAAGAACTATCCAAATACCACCTGAGACACACAGGGATTCCAACAGACTCTTGGGCAAGTCACTGAAATTTTTTTATGTGAAAATTGCACTTAAATGTTCTTCCCAACTTCAAAAAGTTTTAGGTTTGGTCTCCAGCCCTTAGATCAAAACAAACTACATATATATACATGTATATATGTATATGTATATACACATATATATACACATACTATGTATTTATATAAATATATAAATTAGTATATATATTTATACCAATATATAAATATATAAAAATATTCATTTATTTATTATAATTATATATTTGTATAACTATATAAATTAATATATATGTATGTTTATCCAACATATAAATATATAGTATATATATCATATGATATAATGTATATTATATATACTATATAGTATATATAGTATATATTATTTATGGAATATATATAGTAAATATTAATATATTTATATACTAATTTATGTAGTGCATATTTATATATTAGCGTATATATTATATATTTTATATATTATATATTAGTATATATTCTATATTACATAATATAAAAATATATACTATATATAATCAGAGATTTCTTTTTTCATATTTCCTTTTTTTAATTGATTTTATTTTTTAAATACATGACAGCAGAATGCATTACAAATCTCATTACACATATAGAGCACAATTTTTCATATCTCTGTTTGTATATAAAGTATTTTCACAGCAATTCCTGTCTTCATACATGTACTTTGGATAATTATGTCCATCACATTCCACCATCATTTCTAACCCCCTGTCCCCTCCCTTTGCCTCCCACCCCTCTGCCCTATCTAGAGATCATCTATTCTCCCATGCTTCCCCTCCCTACCCACTATGAGTCAGTCACCTTATATCAGAGAAAACATTCTGCATTTTTTGTGGGGGGGGATTGGCTAACTTCACTTAGCATTATCTTCTCCAGCTCTCTCCATTTACTTGCAAATGCCATGATTTTATTCTCTTTTATTGCTGAATAATATTCCATTGTGTATATATGCCACATTTTGTTTATCCATTCATCTACTGGAGGGCATCTAGGTTGGTTCCAGAGTTTAGCTATTGTAAATTGTGCTGCTATAAACATTGATGTGGCTGTGTCCCTTCAGTATGATGTTTTTAAATCCTTTGGATATAGACTGAGAAGAGAGATAGCTAGATCAAATGGTGGTTCCATTCCCAGTTTTCCAAGGAATCTCCATACTGCTTTCCATATTGGCTGCACCAATTTGCAGTCCCACCAGCAATGTATGAGTGTGTCTTTTTCTACATGTTCTTAGGTTGAAGTCCTTTGTAACCTCTGTATAAGAATTAGGAATATTTAGTGAATATAAATTTACAGTTAGAAAGAAAAATAAGTCTTGTACTCTATTGCATAGTAGCATGACTATAGGTAACAATAAAATATTATATATTTCATAAACCCTAGAAAAGAATTTTGAATATTCTTACCACAAAAAAATGATGTTTGGTATGATAAATATGCTAATAACCCTGATTTGAACATTACACAATATATCCACTACAAAACTTCACATTGTTCCTCATAAATAAATGCAGTTATTATGTGTCAAGTAAAAACAAAATACTTTCAGAGATAAACATAAATATGTATACCCACACATACTTTTTATCTACAAAGTTATTCAGTAAATATAGATACCATAGAAAACTATATTCATATTAGGTCTTCCACCAGAAATAATGACAAAAGATGACTAAGGATGAAATGTTAGTTTAACCCTAAGTACCTGTATGAAAACATGAATGGTGTAAACATACTTTGTGTACAACCAGAGATATGAAAAATTGTGCTCTTTATGTGTAATATGAATTATAATGCATTTTGCTATTATATATAACAAATTAGAATTTTTTAAAAAATGTTAGTTTAAATAATCTTTAAAGGTGAAACACCTGGTGTTTACTTATTTTCTGTTAACTCATACAAGAAATCATGACCACTAAGCACTCCCAGTATTGTTTTTCTAATTTTCAAAAAACATCTCCCAGAAAGTGAGTATCCCAATGACAGATCTGCTAAGTAAAGAATACATCTTTTAACAGACAAGTGTGATATCTTTGTGAGTCACTCAGCAAATTTACTGGTGGAATTTAACGGTCCAATATTAATACTTTTGAGTCTCCTCCAATCTTAAGACTCCCAGAACAGTGCTTACTAAATAATAAAGGGTCAATGAGTTTTTTTCTGGAATAATTAATTATCTTATGTGCTAGAATGTCATGTCTAAGCCAGTCTTTTAAAGTAAGGCATACAAACTTAGTGTTTAAACTATGGAAATATCTTAGGAACAAAGAAATAAAATACACATATCCTCTTGTTTTATTCTGTTAGTCTGTGTGAACTGAGCCCAAAGAGAAAGGGTAATCTTCTTTCTTAATGAAAAAATGTACAATTTTTTTCTATATGTTTAGTTATTGTTTATAAATTCTCATGAAATATTTTCTTCAGTGATCATTTTACTAATTATCTATTGAAATGTTTGGAAGCATGTTTCCCCATATGTCAAACAATATTAGATTTGCTGTTAGGTTCCCTGATTTTTACATGATGTTATATAATCATTTTTAAAATGATGCTTTGCATAATTTCCCTTGGGAGGACTATGAGGGAGGACTTAATATGATGTTTCAAATAAATATAATTTAAATATTTTTCTTCATACAAAAGCATAAATAATCTTGCATGTTGACTCTTTTTATTTAGGTACTTCTTTTCTCCTATTAACCTAATATTCATTCAACTATTATTCAAGCTGCAATTTTTATTTTACTGTTTGAAATGAGATGAATTCAAATTGTTCCTTGAAGGAAATGTGTTCTACTCAAGTCTAAACTAAATAGGTGCCATTCTCAGCCTCTTATATTTTCCTTCTTCAGAATAATTTTTTAAACTTAAAAATTATAGAGCTATATGATAGTGATGTGCAACATCCTTTAGAATTTAATGTCACCTGGAATTTCGTTTCAAAGATGAGGTATCTATGATCCTTATTGCTTGAGTGACCTGCCTAAGATTTTATGTTTAGCAGGTAAATGAGTTCTAATCCAACTTAAGTCTTTGTTTGGAAACCAGGACTTTCACTGTATCTCTCTGCCTCTGTGCTGCTAATATTGATTG